TGCAAACTAACCGCGCGAAAGCTGGTGTGCGGCTGTACGCGGCGGCGGCGCACCAAAGCAGTTTTTTTTTTTTTGTACACCTGGCGTTGTTGGGTTAACCCCTTGCCGCCGGGTGACGGCGATACGCGTATAAACAAATCGCTCGAAAGGTGGCGTGCGGCCAAACCAGCCGGCGGCGCGCCAAAGCGCGGCGAGCCAGTGATTCGGGCTGACGCCCCGTACTCCGGCGCTCAAAGTCGGCGCGCTGCCTTTGTTTGCCAGAGCGTAGAGTTTTATTTTCCTTTAGTACACCCGGCGTCATTGGGTTAATAAGGTAATTTGGTATTGTGGTAATTCACAATACCCTTATTTGGTTTTAAGTGGTGGTACTAGCAAGTAACTCTAAATTGTAATTGCACTGAAATTCTGGCTTAAACTAATAATTAAGTTTTCATTTTATACCTTCAGGTAATTTACTAGGTTAAAATCAGATGAAGGCAGTGAGTTTCATGCTATTCACCACCTGCACTAAATGTGATCTGTCAAGGGAGGGAGAGGAATGATTGTCTTCAATATGCTTTCTCAGAACCTCTTTCCTAATGTCCAGTTGGGATTGAGGTAAGATGGGAAGATACATATACAGAATTGAGCCATTCATATCAAATGGCTTCTGTTCTTTCCAAAATGCACCAGGTGCACAAGTTGGAATGCAAGTACCTGTGCTATGTGCTGTGAAGTCTGATCTCTGTAATGTGCACTATACAATTTAGCTCAAAGCAAGCTCTTTCAGTCATCTACAAAGAGATCATGTATGTTGCAACCAAAATACAGCAAATGGAAACCTGTTTTAACTTTTCACTTAGAACTATAGAATTTAAAAGTATCATTTACTGTGAAAACAAATGGAAAATTTAAAATACTAGGATCATACTTTATTAAACGTGTTCATTGCAGATGCCTCGTCGTAAGACTGAGAAGCGCCAGTCGGCCATCGACAAGGTGGTAACCAGGGAATACACCATCAACCTCCATGCTCGTCTACATGGAGTCAGTTTCAAGAGGAAAGCCACCCGTGCTATCAAGGAGATCCGCAAGTTTGCCAAGCAGCAGATGAACACGGATGATGTGCGCATTGACTTGAGGCTTAACAAGTTTATCTGGAGCCGTGGTATCAGGTGAGCATTTAATCTTATTTGTACCTATGAAGTGTGTATTTATTCACTGAATATACAAGTTGTGTAAAATTATTGATCATAAGATTTATACAAGTAATATATATAGAATATGAATTACATTAGAAAATTTAGAGATGTTAGACCACCTTGCAAAAGTGCTACTTTTCACCTCCTGCACTAAATGTGACAAGGGAGGGAGAGGAATGATTGTCTTCAATATGCTTTCTCAGAACCTCTTTCCAAATGTCCAGTTGGGATTGAGGTAAGATGGGAAGATACATATACAGAATTGAGCCATTCATATCAAATGGCTTCTGTTCTTTCCAAAATGCACCAGGTGCACAAGTTGGAATGCATGTACCTGTGCTATGTGCTGTGAAGTCTGATCTCTGTAATGTGCACTATACAATTTAGCTCAAAGCAAGCTCTTTCTGTCATCTACAAAGAGATCATGTATGTTGCAACCAAAATACAGCAAATGGAAACCTGTTTTAACTTTTCACTTGGTTTTGCAAAGCAGAATAATGTTGACATTGAGGTTTTAACCTTTTTAGAAACCATAAATTTTCACAATAGATATTCAACAACTAGTAGTTTAAGAAGCAGAACTATAGAATTTAAAAGTATCATTTACTGTGAAAACAAATGGAAAATTTAAAATACTAGGATCATACTTTATTAAACGTGTTCATTGCAGATGCCTCGTCGTAAGACTGAGAAGCGCCAGTCGGCCATCGACAAGGTGGTAACCAGGGAATACACCATCAACCTCCATGCTCGTCTACATGGAGTCAGTTTCAAGAGGAAAGCCACCCGTGCTATCAAGGAGATCCGCAAGTTTGCCAAGCAGCAGATGAACACGGATGATGTGCGCATTGACTTGAGGCTTAACAAGTTTATCTGGAGCCGTGGTATCAGGTGAGCATTTAATCTTATTTGTACCTATGAAGTGTGTATTTATTCACTGAATATACAAGTTGTGTAAAATTATTGATCATAAGATTTATACAAGTAATATATATAGAATATGAATTACATTAGAAAATTTAGAGATGTTAGACCACCTTGCAAAAGTGCTACTTTTCACCTCCTGCACTAAATGTGTCCTGTCATAGGATGACTTGAGCTCCTCTTCAGAGCAGTTCAAGTTGACCATTGATGACCTGGACTGTGCATGGGAGGGAGAGGAATGATCGTCCTTAATGTGCTCTCTCAGGACCTCTTTCCTAATGTCCAGTTGAGATTGAGCTAAAAAGGGAAGATACATTTTAGTTTAGAGACAGGTTAGTTTTTAAAACAGTGTTAGGGGATTAGATGCATTATCTTTTAACAACTTTCTCCAACACAGGAACCCTCCTTTCCGTGTACGTGTGAGACTTTCTCGCCGCCGCAACGAGGATGAGGAATCCAGCCGCCCCTTCTACACCTTGGCAACTCTTGTGCCAGTCGCTTCCTTCAAGGGACTTGGAACTGAGAATGTAGATGAAGGCTCTGAGTAAAATTTACATAAGATGTATGTTTTAATAACCACATTCGTCATTGTCTTGAATGATTTTCCATTTGATAAATATAATTTTAATCTTGATCAGTAGATCCTCTTGGTAAAGGTGGAAACATTGTTTTTCTCAAGGTGGTGAAAGGATAAATAAAATATAATATAGGTGGATCTGCAACTTTTTACTTAGAACATTGCTTATTGATGAAGTACCTTGGAGATATGAAGTTTGAAATGGTCTACTAAGTGGTAGCAATATGATTGTAACTCGACTCTAAAGCCACAGTATCACATTACACTATGTAAGGGTTACACATGTCACATCACAGGAAAATGAAGTATGTTAGTGGCGTGTAGTTTGATTTTCATACGACATATACCAAAGATCCATTTTCATGTCCTAGCCAGAACACAATTATTAGACAATATAAAACTGCTCTTAAAGCAATATTTTCCCCAGTTACAATTTTTATACAAGACTTCTTTTCAAGTTGGGACAGCCTCCATCACCTTAGAACCACTTAAGACAAGTCCAAGAACCTTTAAAAAAAAAAAAAAAAAAAAAAAAAAAAGTGAAAATACAACCCCAGAAAATTAGGCTAGAATAAAGACCTTAACATAAATTCCCCCCAATCTGTTGTGGGGGCTTAGACTAAAACCCAGTGCAGGAAACAGCCCCTACCTTGAACCTCAGCCCTCACCAACTAATTTTGCATGGTCTTTCTTCCTTATTCTCCTTTTTTCATCCCCATCTGTCCACTTCTTAAGGTGAGAGCTGTGCTGAAGGGATGAAAAGCTGGCTCTCTGTACTGAATGGCCTTCAGGAGCCATGGGCATGGTATTCCCTTGGTTAAACCTCTCTTACCCCTCCTGGTGACCCTAAGGGTAGGTCATTTCCTCTCACCATGCCAATGATTTTTTTCCTTGTTAGGGGTAATAAGGCTTGTCCCTTCATCAATTAGCTTATCTAAGTTGAATTCATTGGTTTCCCAACCCCTGCCTCTCTGATCATGGCTCTTGGCTAATACTAATACCCTTTGATGGTTGTGGTCAACTATATCCACCAAGGTCATTACTCACCATAAATAATACACACTTTCCTCTCCTAACATCCACTCCATCTACTAGTCTTCATTGTCTTCCTTATTGTCCTTCCAACAGTATTGCCTCTCTCCACCCCCCCATCTTCCACCCTCATCCTTCTACTGCTTCCACCTCTGCAAACCTTTTGAGTACCCTTTTTTGGCCCAGCCGAGTGGGATCAGTTGTTCTTGATTCCCCATACAGCTCCATACACTGACAATACCTTTCTCTTTCGGCAATGTCTCCAAAAACAAGTAGGCAAAGTTTCCTTTTGCAGTCTTTCTGATCATTCATGCGTTGTTGCTCTTACATCTGAGTCCCAAGTTTGTGCAGCATCTATCCTGACTGACCTCACAGGCAAACCCATTCCCGCCCAACCTCACTCCTCCCTTAATACCTGTACCGGAACTGTTCCCGTCTCACAGACTGAATATCCTATCTACAAGGACTGGTCAGACTGTGAAAACAACTTGCTTGCATGCCTCACTGATTATGATGCAGTGGCAGTCCAGTGCTACACTGTTCCTCCCAGAAGACCTTCCATGGACATGGCCTCCCCAATGAAGTTTCTATTGGTGCAGTGTCCTGCCCTGTCTGACCGTATTGACCCTTTCCCCGTCAATGTTGGAAAAGTTGGCGTTCTGGCCACCCAGCCAAACACTTGCTCCACAGCACTGCCCTCGTATGTACCCAACCTGGTCATGACCGATCAATTTGCTCTGCTCAGTCACGCACATGTGGTGGCTATTATTTTATAAAGTATCTTATAATCTGAGGTAGCAGTTCTCAGATTCAAACTAGGTCTCCATGTGAGGCCAGACAAGAAGCACACTGACGAGATTTTTCTCTGTACGTATTTGAGAACTGTACTTTGCTCTGCTCCTGTCCCATCTTCTCAAGAAGTCTCAACATCTCTCCAGTATATCTTCCCTCTACTCCAAACCAACCTATCTCTATTTCCTCTCTCCTCCAGTTAAATTCCTTTTCCAGTCTATATCCAGATACTCCAATCTCTACCACTTCCCCAGTGCCTACCCCTCCTCCTCCTCCTCCTAACTCTAGCTGTTGCACAAGACAATCTAAACATTCCACTCCATCATCATCTACCACATCCTCTCCTACACCCACTTCTTTCGCTGCTCTTCAGACATCTATTTCCTCTTCTCATAAGAAAACCTTTGTTTTTCAGACCCTCCCCCCCAAATCCTATTAACCCATTGCCGCTGGGGAAAATGAACAAAAAATGGGGAGAATGCAGTACTCATTTTTTATATTTTTGTGAAATATGTCTGTCCATAGATGGCTCTGCTAGTCCTGATTTCACCTTTCCTTAAATTGGCGGGAAAAAACGTATTCTTACTAGTGCTATAAAAATAGATGGTGTTATTTATAACAGCAAATTAGGATAACGTTAAATATTTTCGTAAATCGATGAAAAGGGTGAACGGGCGAGACGGGCAGTACTGTAATTGGCTCATTGGATACTTAGTACAAGTGTAGCCATCTATGTGTAAAAACAATCGAACAAGTCGACTCGCAGTGGGCATGGCATGTACGTACATGCCATCCCCGGCGGCAATGGGTTAAATTCTTGACATCCAAAGGGTCTTAACCCAACCACCATGGATTTATGTTGTCCCCTGTAGTTTTTTTTGTGTGAATTTTGTTACATACAGATGGCTGCTGCTCAAGTTCCTCCTACCATTCTTCCTCCCACTCCCCCCAAAACCCCATCCATCATTTCCTCTTCCTTCCTCATTATCCTTACCACCCCTACTCAAACCACTCACATGACTCCCTTATGTCACGACAATGTCCTTCTCAGGATCCCTCCCCTCCTGACATTCTTCTCAATACTTCACCACCTTCCCTGTTCCCTTATTTTATTCTCAGGATTCTTCTCTTAGTTCCACAACTATCATTCTTTTACTGCATTACCCTTCATTTCATAATAGCTCTTTTGCAGTTTCCTCACAGTGTTACTCTCCCTTCCTCAGAGACATACTCTGTTTGATCTGATTGCCCTATACCTTTAACCACATCCCCCATCTCATGCTTTTTGTGTGTGTGGGGTTGTGGTTGTGTACGAGTGAGTGAGTGAGTGAGAGTGAGTGTGTGTGTGGGGGCGGGGCTTAAGAGACCAAGACTGGGACCCAATGCTGGGAATCGTCCTGCCTAATTTTGCATGGTCTTTTTCCCTGCCTCATCCTTCTTTATTACAACTCTACAGCCTATTTGTACACCACTGCAATACTACCTCTTTCAGCAATACTCCCTCTTCCACACGTCTCCATCCTACTGTCCCCAGTATTCTGAAATATTTTACTTAGCCATGCCAAATGGGATTGATTTTTCATTATCCCCTCCACAGCCCCCTACTCTGAAAACACTCCTCTTCCAGCAACATCTCCAAAAAACAAGTAGGCAAAGTTTCCTCCTGCAGCCGCCCTAGTTGTTCCCATCTCATCACAGTTACATCCAAAACCCAAGCTAAAGCATTGTCAACCCTGGCTGACTTCACTGGCAAACCCATTCCTGCCCAGCCTCATCCCTCCCTCAACACTTTTACTGGATTGGTCTCGATCTCCTTGACAAACTGCCCTGTCTATGACAAAAACTGGTAGGATTGTGGAGAAGACTGAATCACCTGCCTCATGAACTATGAAACCATATCAATACAATGCTACACCATTCCCCCTAGAGGCTGTTGTAAGAATCCCGCAAATATTACAAAGATTACTTTCCATAAACATGACCTTTCATGTTTACATTGGCAGAGAATCACCTCCCCCCCCATCAATGACAGAATTATTGGCATCTAGGCCACCCAGCTAAACATTGCCGTTGCAAAGCCTAATGCCCAATCTTGTCGTTTATGATCACACTGGTCTGCACAAGCAGGTATGCATGGCAATTGTGATAGCTCCCATACTAAATTTTATAGGGGCTGCTCTACCTACAAGTTTGAATCTGAAGTAGCAACACAAAGTCAGACTTGGCCTCACAATATATGAAGCCAGACAGGCAGCACATTGAGTTTTTTCTCTTACTCCCTAATCCAATAATGTGGCTCATTCTGCTCTCCCCCTTTCTCCCAACATGTTTCTACAGACCATACTATAACAGTTTCAGGTGATCACCTAGCAATGCTTTGCTAGGCATTAACACTGCAGACCCCCGGGGGCAAGGAGAAGAATACTTTCCATGTGTCAATTGCATCCATCATATCATCACCATTGTCATTTTGTTATTATTATGTTAAGTAATTATAATAAAAATAACCTCCCCAATGTCCTTACCCTTTGTTGTTATGGGGGTTGCTTATGAGACGGAGAATGAGCCCATTTATAGGGGATCACTCCTACTTTGGACTTAAGTCCTCACCAACAAATTTTGCAAGGTCTTTTCTTCTTCCCCTATCCTTTTCCTTCTCTTCTTCTGTCCATTTATCTTAACCATCAACTCATTTTTACCCTTTTTGCAACAATACTTTATCATAAAGCTAAAGAACCCTTGATGTCTAGCACATTTATTTGCTTTGACCATTAAGATTTCTGGGAATCCACAAGCATAGCCTCATGAAAAATCAAACAAACAAACAAAAATTAACCATGGGCTTTGTTCCCCAGCCCCACCCTGTCACTATATTTCGAATATGCCACTAATGATCTCAGATGTTGATGCAGCAGAAAAATTTCAGTAAAAAAATAAACACTAATAATATCTGTAGTAGTAATGATAATAGTAATAATTTTAGTAATCATAAGGATTGATGATGATGATAGCAACAATAACAATAATTCCTATTGAGGTCAATATTGATGAAGATGGTAAAGACAGGGAGACAACACAGTCAAACTTTGAATAACAAATGTATATGGCAACTTTATGGAGGAGCATTTGACTCAATAATAATATATTAATTTCTTCTCTCTCTTTTTAATATATCTAATAACACTGAAGGAACAGATCTAATTAAAACAAGGGAAATTCTTCCACTGCAATTATATCACATACCATAATTGCATGGCTAATAATAAGCATATAAATAAATTATAATATTCAAAATCATTACTAAGGTCTGAGACTAAACTCTACTTAAAAGCTTATCTTTTCATAATCACATGGTATCCTTACACAGTGTTCATTCTATTAAAGCATCTTTTTTTAACATTCTAATCTAGAGATGGACAATACAACAAAAAAATCTGACATCTTTCCTAAGCTACAGCAGCTGCTATGGCCGAGGATTCCATATTCCACTTCCATACAAGAAAACTACATATCTCGCCTCAATAATCTAAGCTCAGGGGCCCAGTGTCCAAGGCATACCATGCATGTTACACTTGTCATTGCAGGGTTGGCCAAAACCACTGATTGTGCTGTAAATAAACCAATACTTGTGACTGGAATTAGTAGTAAGCTTTTATTTTCAGGTGCCACTACCTTTTTAATTTTCTGGCAATGATATGACAGCCATAGTTGATCCTTTTAGAGAAACATGTATTGATGCATTTGCAGCTGCTTACAGAGTTATTGTATAATATCACATGGACAAATAAACTAACAACTTAAAAATACAGTTAAGGTAGACAGAAAATGGCAAAATAGGTTTACATGAAATTTTATAAGTAAAAATTTGGTCTGAATGGTGGTTTCCTGAAATAATGTTTCTTCATTTATGATGAACATTTAATCACTAAAATGATGATATATAACAATTGAGGTATGACTAATGTCCATGGCAAAAAACACCAAAAATCCTTTTATTATCATTTTTTCCATTTGTTTATTACAGGTTCTCTTAGTCTCCCCTCCTTCCCATCAATACATACACATATGGAATTATCATACTTAGCTTTTAATGACCTGTATTGAGTAGCAGGTATCAGCATAGACCAAAAATTTTCATTAATAATATAAGAATAATTTCATATAGTTTTACAATAAATCCTACTAGTAATTTATCAATCAAGATTACTGTATAATAAAATTGGCATAAAATATCTATCTCTCTATATATATACTGACTATGCATAAAGATATAATGCATTCCTAAGGTTAACCCAACGCTGACGAGTGAAAAAAATAAATGAAAATTTTAAACTTTAGAGATTTCTGGCAATGGACAGACACTAGGCACAGGAGTCTGCTACATCAAGCCGAACATCCAGCTCCAAGCCCTCTGGTGCATTGCCGTGCGTACAGGCATAACCTGCAGACCGAACAGTTTGTTATGATGATGACAGGTGTGGCCCGTCAGCAAGAGGTTAAATATTCCTTTTTTTTTTTTTCTTTTCTTTTTTAAGGAAACTTTTTTTTTTTGTTCCTTATTTAATGAAGTTCTTTGCACATTTTTTCCCCTTCACCTTAAATATATTTTTTTATTAATAATAATTTACTTAAAATTCATATAACATTAACCCAATGTGTGCGGGCTTTTTCGGCGGCCATGCGGTCTGCCAAACAAGTATATCTGTATGGGCCACATCTGTATGGAGGCATCAGTGCTACACCTCCATGACATCATAGTAGATGCCACCCGTGAACAAGGGGTTAAAAAGCTAAATGTCAAAAAAAAAAAAAAAAAAAAAAAAAAAAAAAAAAAAAAAAAAAAAAAAAAAAAAAAAAAAAAAAAAAAAAAAAAAAACAAATATGTTTGGGTAAACCATTGGGTCAAAGTGGCTAACCCTGAGCTTAGAGTGCATTTTCCAGATTTCATAAAAAGGGAACAAAGCATGACTGAGAACTACTTGTTTGTCTTGAGGAAGCCTGTTCTAACCAGTCCTGTCTGTGGGAGAGAATTGCATCTGTATTCATTTAGAATGCACAAGGTCTGTATGCTGTATATTCTAAATATATGTTGAGGTGCTTAGTAGCTACAAGCTTGTCTGATAAAATGTATGGTATCTAAAGAGTATGTGTTGGGTACGCACACTAGAGTGTGCATGTGTGTAAGCCTGTGCATGACCAAATACAGGACAATGCTTCTTTTAGAAAAAAAAAAACATGAAATATATTTAAAAACATAAGATCCTGATCCACAACCAAACTCAAACACAACTGAGAGGATTTACTACAACAGGGACAATACTATTTTAAACATCCAGTATCCTCAGCCTTGATAAGGAGGGGTGGGATAGGAGCTAGAGTAGACATCCCATTTACAGTGGGGGTTGCATACAAATGCAGCCTATGAATTCTACCAACAATTATATTTCCTAGGCCTTTTTATAATAAAAGTTATCTCAAATCATAAGAATATTCAGTCTATGTACACAACAATAATTATATCTCCCACAAAATATATTTCACAGTGATTTCATTTTGTTTAGTCATGTATTGACTGACCTGGGTACAAAGCATCATTCCACTACTATAGAGTTTATGTATAGTGATGGGTTATGATTCTTCTACCTCACTATGCTAAGAGAGAAGGAACAAGAAGTTGTGATTTTATTACCAGAATGATGCTATGCATTGGGTAGGGGCACCAATTCAGACAAGGTTTTAATTGGTAACATGTTGGCATTTAAGACTTTCCTATAAAATATGAGAGCACATTTACTAATCATTTTGATGAAATTATTACTTTAAAGTTTTACACATTTTGCACCATAGCCATCATAAACAAAAATAACCAAATTATTTTATGTACAAATTTTTACAAACAAAAAACAGGTCTCAAGATTGTTTACTTTTCTTATAAAGAAATAAATCTTTTCTTAAAAATATATACCCAAGAGTAAAAACCTACTTGTTATTTGGGAGTTCATACTAGATGAATAGGAGACTAAAAACTAATGTACATCCCTCTTTCCTCACCCAAGGAATGTTGAAAACCCAACTGACCTAAAAGCACTAATTTAATAAGCACTATGTAAGGACATTTTTGTATGCAGGTATACGTATATATAAACTGGGCTTTTTCCTGTGCAATGGCTGATCTTACAAGTTTAAAAACAATTTACTTGATTAAAATTTAACAAAGGAAGTAAGAGGAAAGAGACAAGGAGCATGATAAACAGGTAACAAAAGGGTTTTTTATCAGGTATAACAGATAAAGTATCAAGTATTGGTGTAAATATGAAGTCATGTAAATCATGTTGCAGAGTTTGACAGATGTAGTAGATATATAATCTGGAGTAAAGAATATAGTGCCACTGACTGCCAGGTATAGATGTACCAACATCAGTGTCTTGTACACATTATATGAATCCAGTTATGTGTTAAATATTACAATCTTATTGCTTGATGATGAAAAGTAAAGCCATTCAATGTAGGTGAATCTGTTTATCATATCCTTTTTTATCAAATTCAGCCTTGAAGTGTTAGACATATTATTCATACACTGATCTGGAAAACAGAACATTCCTGAGTTAAAGATACTTTCAAAAAGGTTGCTAAACAAAAAAGTAAAACTCAAACTAAGGCCCTTAGTGTTTGAACTGCCCTGATTAGATATATGAAGGTGCTCTGTTAGAAGCTTTTACAAGACCAAAGAAAATGAGGGTAGATTTATGATCCATCATTCCTGTGAAGTGCAAGTAATCACTAGGATCATTTCTACCTTAATAAACTTGCACATTTCTACATTCATAAGCAAAATTTTCCACTTTATGCTTATGTATAAATGTACATTATTCATGTCTCAAAACTATAAATGAATTTCATTGTCTGAAGACCAACTGACAGGAGGAGGAGGACGAAAAATGAAATGGAGATGGAAAAACTTAAGAGGAAGAAAAAAAATGTATAATAAAAATAAGAAGACATGAAATGAAAGAAAAGAAAAGAAAAGAAAAGAAAAGAAACATGGCTTCTACCTGTATGGACTATATATTAACAAAGATCTCTTACTACAGGTTGTTTATTTGATTAAATTGCTTTACATATTATGCAAAACAATGACTAATTTTCTTATAACATTCAGGAGTTCAAACAAAGAGTACAAGTTAGGCCAACTGCATACACTTAGGGATCTTTGGCAAATTAATACATTGATTTTGATACTTTCCACTGAAAGCACAAATTAAGATATTTGAATTCTATTGTATGACAAAAGCATGACCTACATTTAAGCACTCCATTTGGTTTCCTAAAATGAAAAAAAAAGAAAAAAGAAAGGGAAAAAAAAGGAAAAAGTGTTTTGTGCACTAACTGGTACCTCTACCCAATCTATATAAATATAAGACTGGTTCTTTACATGCCACATGTATTCAACATTACCTGTCACAACTCTTACTCATCAAACGACAAAAAATAACTTTTAAAACACAAGTAAAAATTTCAGTAACATACATTTTCCTACAGAAGTAAAAATGCACAGGTTGGGATATTTATATCAAGAGTAAATAGATTACTAATCATTTACATGATAATTATCAAGTGTTCATTTCTAAACACCTTTGCTCAGTTTGAAATAAATCATCCACTAAAATAAAAAATGACTACTCTTAAAAAGAAAAGTTTTCTCTTTATAGGTGCATATTCAGCTTGCCATCATCACAGTTAAAGTAAGTACAGAAGAATTACATCTACATAACAATCTGTATTCATTAAATAATTATTTCATATACACAAATGCACTGATATACAATTTATCATTACTTGATCATTTCTATTTTCAATGCATTTATATGCACTTAGATGTCAAGATACAACACACTGTGTTACTCTTCCTATGTTGACCAGCAACTTGGTTCCAGATTTATCACGTAGTTTCCCCTGCTTCCGGCCTCTGCCTCCCGCGTGCTGCCTAGCTCCTAGAGTTTGGATAATAGAAAGCCTTCACTTCTTTTATGGCTTTACACCACTCCAGTGCAAATCCATTGGGCTCCTCAAGGTAATAAGTTCTGTTGGGCTGTTGAATAAAAGAAAAAATTGAATCTCAACTGGGGAAAAAAAAAAAAAAAAAAAAAAAAAAAAAAAAATATATAAAATATATATATATATATATATATATATATATATATATATATATATATATATATATATATATATATAATAATAATAATAATAAATAAATACATAATAATAATAACAATAATAATAATAAAAATTACAGTTAGACAAAATTCATATGTACATACATATATACATACATGTATGTATGTATGTATATAAAATTTCTAATCAACCCATATCTATGTTCAAGAAGGACAGGAATTTGACCAATAGTATGCATTATTTATATATTAAGGAAATAACACTAATATAAGATTTTCTCATATATTTTGCTAAGAATTAACCTACTCCGATTACTTAAGAAATCCAAGAAAGAAAACAAAGGTTCCAGAGCTTTTACCGTGTGGACAAAAAATGTTTTAAAGTTCTTTGCTTCTGGAGTGATGGTTGGATCCCAAGGTATCTGCCCCTTCAACACCATGTTCACCGGGTCGACGTAGAACAAGTGCGGCCCAGTTGTTAGCAGAAACATTCTCCTTCTTGGGAAGAGACCCTGGAGAACGGTTAATGGTTAATGCTTAGAAGAAATAAATGTACTACACATCAAAGGTCATATAGCACTATGGTAAAGTACTGTGGTGAAAAGGGTGGGAATGAGTTAATGATCAGGATAAGATGTGTTAGATGTCAGAGGTTGTAAAATACTGTAGGATAGAATGTTACTGAAAAGGGTATTGAGGGGGAGCAAATGGAATATAGTAGGGATTTGTTAAAGGATATGGTTAAAGGTATAGGGCAATCAGATCAAATGGAGAGTACGTGTCTGAGGAAAGAGGAATAACACTCTGAGGAAACTGCAAAAGAGCTATTATGAAGCAATCAAAAGGATAATATGGTAAGAAACAATAGTTGTAGAAGTAGGAGAATAATCCTGAGAATGAAATGAGGGAACAGGGGAGGGTGGTGAAGCATCGGGAAGAATGTCAGGAGGGGAGGGATCCACAGGTCATTGTCGTGGCACAAGGGAGTCACAAGAGCATCCAAGAGGGGGTGGTAAGGATAATGGAGAAGGAAGAGGTGAGACACATGGAGGAAGTGAGGATAGGGTGATTTTTGGGTGAGTGGGAGGAAGAGGGGTAGGGGGAACTTGAAGAGGAGGATGGTTATCAGTAGATGCATTGAATGTAGAGCAAATAAAGAAATTAGAGGGTGGATGAGGGAGTGAATCCTTCTCTTGAGAAATGTTTAGGAAGTTTTGGATGTCTTCAAGAGTTTCTGGAGAGGAGTTGGGTGGGGAGGTCTGAGAAACAAAGAATTCCTTATGTGGAGGAGAAGAGGGAATTAATGTCTGAGGAGCAGAGAAAGAGGTGGGTGTAGGAGAGGATGTGGTAGATGATGATGGAGTGGAATGTTTAGATTGTCTTGTGCAACAGCTAGAGTTAGGAGGAGGAGGAGGAGAGGTAGGCATCGGGGAAGTGGCAGAGATTGGAGTATCTGGATTTAGACTGGAAAAGGAATTTAATTGGAGGAGAGAAGAAATAGAGATAGGTTGGTTTGGAGTAGAGGGAAGAGATACTGGGGGAGATGTTGAGACTTCTAAACCCCTTACTGATGGGTGAAGAAAATTAAAAACTTTACGCTCTGGAGATTAATGGCAACGAGCCAACTTTGAGCGCCGGAGTTCGCTACATCAAGCCGAATCCCTGGCTCGTAGCACCTTGGCACGTCGCCGCGTCATACTTGCCACACTCCATATATTCAGTGATTTGTTATAACACATCAGCACGTGGCAATCAGTATTGGGTTAACTCTTTATGACAGGTGACGCCGCTAGGCGTGAAAACAAACCACTCAAAAAGTGGCATGCGGCTGTATATTACTAATTTTTTCCAACTTATCATAAACTCTACAATGCTTTTATGTTGTGTGTGCATGTGTGTCTCTCTCCATCTGTCTGTCTTTGTCCATGTATTTAAGTATCTATACATATGTATCTGTCTATTTTCGTCTGTGTCTGCACACAACAAAATATTTAAAGCAGAATCTCTATGGAGTAATGACTGGAATACTTAATTCTCCATTTCTCATACAATATCCAGAGATCCCTACCTTGCGTTTATCCATGAGTCCTTGCTTCAGAATCAGATTCCCTTCAACAAATCTGTGCCACTTGTTTTCTCTCTCTTGTGTTGCCAACCTTAAAATATATTCTTCATCACTAATATCAGCCATATTTTTCTTTCCTAGAAAAGTGGTGAGGAAAATAAAGTACAATTTAAGACCATGTCTATTCACACACTCATACCCATATATCAATATTTGCATATATAAATACACACATACCAAATCTCTTGTATTACTGAACATGATACTGATATCAAAAGCTATACTTACCAGCTTTCTTGACAGCCTCCAATTCAGTCTTTTTATTTTCAACAGCTTTGTTATTATCATCATTACTTATATCTAAGCCAAGCATTAACTGAAGTTCAATTGTCTCCAATCCTGGTTGATTTTTATGCTCCCAATTAATCTGCCAAAAACAACCAGAAAAGAATTATACACTGCAGAAAAAAACAATTCAAAAGAATGATACCGATATAACTATTTCCTTTCTGAGTTAGAATTTAAGTCATTGGAAAACTTCTCTGGTAATGGGACTCCTCTCTCAAATGCTGTAGACATCTTAAAATATCAGCAATTAATTACCCATTGACCAAAATCTAATTCATGTGGAAAACTTTCCTTGTGGTTAAAAGTGTTATTCTCCCATTCATCTTTCTCTTCTCTTACCTCCTTTTCCTTCTTTAGTTTAACTGTATATTTCCGTCTGCCCTTTCTGACAAGTGCTCCTTACAGAGAAAACATGGAAGCAGGGAGTTAGGAAGCAGGCAATGTTAAAACTTCCTAATAAAGTCTGTTATTATTAACTGTTCCCTAAATGATTACTTAGGCTTAGAAGCCCCATGCAACTACATGCTCATCCATCCTTTTATGAAAGTATTTATTCAGAAGATGAGCAAATATATATTTTTTTTCTTGACATGCCCTATGGTTCAGAATCTTTCAACTGTTTGTGTAAATGTTTTCTATTTTTGTGAAGATATAATCCAAGAATACAGATACCTGGGAAGGAGGGAGGGAGGGAGGGAGGGAGGGAGAGAGAGAGAGTTATATATGATGTTTATGTCAAAATCAAATTATATATACCACATTTATAACAATAAAATTGATTTTTTTTTTTTTTTTTTTTTTTTTTTTTTTTTTTTTTTTTTTACCCATTCATGACAGGATGTCACGAATCTGTGCCATGCTAAGATGGCTAAACTTGTACTTGTAATGCCTGTCTCACCTGCCTGTAGTGACATTTCACACAAAAAATGAGAAAAATGAGCCCAGCATTTACCTCATTTTCAGTCTATTTTCCCCATTGCAAATGGGTTAATAATAAAGCCTTCACACTGGAGAAATTTGTTATTGTAAGACACTTTCATCCTCCCATGGTGAATTTCAGGAGGTAATGTCAAAATGTAATGTTATATTTTTGCTCCAGAAGGGGATAAATACATACATATAAAAATTGCTGATGCCACACGAGAGTGCCTAGGATTCATGAAGCCCTGTCACCTCCGCATTTTTCTTCACAGAGGTTTATATTACATTCATATATGGGTGAAAATTCATTTTCAACCCCCCCCCCCCCAAGACTGCAGGATGGTCCCCTTAAAGACACAGACTAGCTATGATCAACACTATATCCAAGGTTAGCCTCAGTTTTTCTTTTTTTGACAGTCCAGGGAAGACTTGCAGTCAAGCAATATGGCCACCAACCAAGCTATGCATGTGAGGTAAACACAAAACAAAAAACATCCACTAGCCATGAGATTTATAATGTAAACAAATGATATGAACAATCAATATTTAAGCAAATGTTTAACTGTACATGTTGTAATTTGGTATATATCATTTTATTGAAAACAATATAAGAATTTGGCTGTGGCTAATTTTACTGCTAGGTTTATGTACATAAATACTTTAATCCTAATGATATTTTAGCTTGTCAACAACAGTTGCCCAGGATTGAGCTACCCAGGAGAAAATGCTGCCTAGCCATGTTAACCCATTCGCCCCATGTGGCAAGAATAGATGCCCATTGTAATACACAATTATTTATTGTATTTACACATAGATGGCTCTACAAGTTCTTAATCACCAAATAACCAGATTATAAGAACTATCTATCTTACCTGTTTACCCTTTTCCTTCACTTCAGGAAAGCTTCTTTTATATCAATTCATTGTCTATAATATCTTAAAGACAATTTAATAATCAAAACATAACATCAATAGCAATAGTATTTATTAGAAAAAGACATTTTTCTGCCAATTCAAGGAATGGGAAAATTAGGTTCTGTAACTTGGGCCTACTGATAGACTCCTTGCCAGCTGAGCACATGTGGCACCATCTGTATGTAACAAAATTCACCAAAAACTACAGGGGACAGAACATAAATCTGGGGCGAATAGGTTAACACGTAGAAGCCACGACCTGCAACCTCCACAACTCAAGTGTGCATACTCCCAGAATGGGAGTATGTGCACTTGTCTTTGCTCTCTTGCCAGCAGGCATTTCTCACAACTCAATAATGAAACCTGACTGGCTGATATTGGAAACCTTGTGGCTCTCTGATTAGCAAAGTCTTTAGAAGGGGAATACCTGCACCAGCTAAGAAATTGCAATCTACACAACTCAGTATCACATACTTCCCATGATGGGTAACACCACAGACTCCCTTCAACCACTGTTTGCTGACACACCTCCAGAGCACTTGAGCTCTGAGATCCGTAACCGAGATCAACTCATCAGCCCCAGAGCATCTGGCCAAACAGCAGCAGCACGGGAATGCCCAGTCCTTCTCTGACTGGAGAGCCTCTCTGGCTATCTCCTAGATCTCTACATCACTTACAGCAACCAGTTACAACAGTAGGAACTCACATCTCCATCTACTACACACAATAACAACCATGTGTACCAATGTGATACATTTCAAACTTTTGGTAACTACATGTACCACAAGTGGTACATTGATTTTTTTTTTCACCAACATAAAATGATAGGCAAAAATGAAAAACAAATTCATTAACCCCTTACTGATGGGTGAAAAAGAAGAAGAAGAAGAAGAAGAAGAAGAAGAAAGGAAGGAAAAAATCTATGCTCTAGAGATCAATGGCAATGCACCGACTTTGAGCGTGGAAGTTCGGTGCATCAAGTCGAATCACCGGCTTGTGCATCGTACAGCCGCACTCCACAGATCAAGTGGTTTGTTATAACGCCTCAGCATCAATAAATTTCAAATTATTTCCAAAAATTAAGGAAATGGGTAAACAGGTGAGACAGGGAGTACTTATAATTGGCTCACTGGTGACTTAGTATAAGTGGGGCCATCTGTGTGTAAGAACAATAAAAAAAATAGACTAACCTTAACCAGAAATTGCTAATAGTGCATTTAATTTTTTTTTTTTAGTCTTGGAAAATCCAATTGTGAAGAAATGGAGAACTGCGGATGGCAATATCAGTACAAAATTGTTATATAAATATAATTCTAGCTAGAATACAACATAGTTTCAAATTTAAGAACTATGGAAGCACATGTGTAAAATTATTTTATGGCGAGAATTTCCGAGGCCACTGAATTTTTCCAACGCTCCTAAGGGGTTGGGGGAGAGGATTGCTGGTCACAGGGTGGTTTTAATTCCTAACCCCTTGGTGATGGGTTAAGAAAACTAAAAACTCTATGCTCTGGCGATCAATGGCAGCGCACCAACTTTGAGTGCGGGTGTTCGCGGCGTACAGCCGCATGCCACATTTGTGCCATGGTTCGCCAGAGCATTTTTTTTTTCTTCACCCGTCACCATTGGGTTAATAGGAGTAAACCTATTCTATATAAAAAGAAAAAATATTACTTGCTCCATATAAAGCATTTTTTTATTTATTTATTTTTTTTTTTGATATTTGATATTTGTAAAAAATGCCCATTGGGCACGGAAAACCATTGGAATGTTGATGTTCAGTCATTTGAGTGCATTATCTTTGCAAATAAGTGAACAAAATGATCAGATGTCTGGGTGGGGTTAGTACTTTCCGTATCTATGGTACCTACAACCAACAGTAACATCCTCAGGTTGCATTTTCTACTGGAAATGCACAGAAGGGGTGCACTAGCTGTATGAACTCCTTACGAAGTGAATGGATAAGACAGATTTCAAAATTTCATATAGTGTTTACTTCAGAGTGGCTATCATCTTCAACATAAAATAATCAATAATGAACTTATTTTTCCAAACTTCAAATTTCCAACCAAGGGGTGGCCTTCATATTGAAGTGCTCTTTACACTGAAAACAAATTTTGGTGGACAGTACCGACTGCTAGAGCTATTCAAAAGCGAAATATTATTATCATTAGCTATACTATTATTCTTAAACATTCGTGCTTCATACTTGGTACACACATAGACCCCTACATAAACTACAGTATATTACCAGGGAGTCTCAATGGAAAGCATATCTCATATATAAATGTACAAAAACTCACATTACATATTTTTTCATAAATCATAGTGATTTTTTCTGATATTGGTATAAAAGTGTTCTTTGGACATTCACAAACTCATATCTATGCGCAAATGCCATATGCAAGATTGTAACAAGCAAAAGTCTATACAGGTGTACCTAGCGTCCAAAGTTTACCTGTCAGCACTTATGCTCTTGCACCTCCCAAGAAATACACAGGTTTTAGCTCAAACAGTTCTTTGGTAGTTTCTACATTCTTGTACATATAACATAGGCTAGCTTTCTCAATTTGACACTTTACCCCCCCCCCCCCACCATTTGGGATTTTTGTTTTCATCAATTTATTTCGCTCAGCGAGCGACAAGCCACTACAACACAAATTAAATGTTGGCTACAGAGTACTCATGACACGCAGGTCACGCCATGTATCAAATGTAGAAGGAAAGGGGAAATAAATACATGAATGATAAACAACGGAAGCTCGGCTGGAATATTAACAGCCACCAAAATATGGGTATTGCAAAAGTATTACATCTAGATTGTCCTCTGCTAATAAGTACTTGCAGACGTCAGAAACAGAGTCTCTCTTTGATATGAGATCAGCTACCTCTGGACACTCAAGGCAGTAATGCTGTAGGTGGTTCGCATTGTGTACGTCACACGACTTACACGATGTGTACTGGGGCACGTCTTCTGTCTCACCCACCTGCCACACTGGTCTGTAGCCTAAGCGGAGCCGGGCAGCGACCACATTGTGTCTTCTTACCAACAGACCACGGCGTCGGTATTTG